TCGGGGTTAAAGTTAAACCTTTAAGGCAAAGCAAACAAAATGCCATGAACCGAAAAGGTCCAGTGAACTACAATCACTCACTCACTCACTGGCGCGGTTGCCAAGCGTTACACTACGGGCCCCAAGAGACAGTGCGTTAGGAAAACAATCTGCGAAGTAGACGGAAGTAGAACGCTGGGTAGAGCACTTTACATCACAGTTCAACCAGCCTCCCTCGCTGGCTGCACCAAGTAGTGCTCTTGAGAGGGTACCCTGGTCACTATTCACGGAGCCGTTTTCTTACGCAGACTAAGCTTATTTCGCGAAAGACAAAGTAGTCGAAAGCTTTCTTTACCTGGGAAGTTGCATAACAGCTGGCAGAGGTGTGGGCAGGGAGATCTCTCAACACTCAACCAAAGCTAGATTGGCTTTGCTAATCTGCAGTATCTCTGGCACCGGCGCAACATGTCCCTTTCACTGAAAGGGCTTGTGTATTGCGCAGCGGTGCGCACCGTGTTGACCTACGGTCGCGACACAGCCTCTCGGAACAGAGCACGCCCGACGACTATCGGTTTTCGACAACCGTTGTTTGTGCAACATGGCCCGCGTATGGTGGGAGCACCATGTGAGTAATTATGAGGTCAGATAAAGTATATTAGGATCAAATAGTCTTTGACTGAGCAAACCCCTTTCACCGCATCGTCTGAGGTGATATCGTACATCCTACGAATGCCTGTGTAACGTCTGCCGTACCGTGAGTTATTTGTAGACATTTGCTCGGGCCGGAATTGCATTGGCAAATTCACATGATCGGCGACTGCTGCTGTACGTTTCCTCGTAGGGCATTGCAAGATACGCATCCAAGGTGCACAATCTCGAGCAACGACCTGCACGAACCAAAAGGAGTGGGATGATAGGATTGCTCTATTTAAGGGATCGGGACTGCCAATCACAGTAACTCGACAGCGAAGAGCCGCCAGCGGTGAACGCACAGGTCAGCTCAGTCCTGTGATCTAAATCGATAAACAGAGCACGCTAGTTATGCAGTCCATGGCCACCATGCGATTAAATCAGGTAGCCAAGGAGGTACGGTGCAGCATACTACAAAGAAATTACATGGCTCGGGGCAGACAAATGTTTCATAAAAATCCCGGTGACAGGACAGATGATAAGTGTGCAAAACGGTCGCACTGATCATATTGTTGCGTAAAGTGCACAGAACATGTAGAACACGGTGTGAAACGTTTGGCGTCATTCAATTTCCGCAGAGCAAAATATCTCAGTTTCATTTCCCCATGACATCTTTGATCTAAATTGTGTTTGCATCACTGATTCGTCATTCAGAAGACAACCACACATTACGCGATGGATTTTTTCTAATACCGTGATTGCTGCAAAGATGGAATTACTTTGCAACCACCTTACTACCTCCCGCAAGCTACAATGAACTCTTCCGTTGTTCTCATTGTGATTGTGTTGCGCTACAGGAAAAATCTCGATTGGACTGGCAAAACTTTGTTCGCAAAGAAGATCTGGAAGATGATCTCAGGGCGCATAACAAGGGTAAAGAAGGGTACGTGTGTGTGTGCATACCAAATGTACATTTGCTTCAATCTTGTTTTTGCTTTCCACATTTGATTTCTTTCCGACCAGCCGGTGAGGTGTTAGAGAGAGTCTCTGTTGGTACTCAACATCTTGATGTTCTGTATCACGGTTTCCGATCCGCTAATCACCTTGATTTTGGGGTTATATTCCGGGGGTTACTAGAAAATCAACTGGTTTCTCACTATGTAAGCTTATCAATCAACCAGTCAAACCGCTCCGTTCCTTTTATATCATAGAATGCTTGACGCTATTCGAGTCTTGTTATCGGGGGGGGGACGGGTAATTGCTGAATAACAGGGTTGTTGCCTGTCGACGAAGTATACAGAACCCTGTGGCTAGCTAGATTAGCCAGTTGATCTTTTTTCTGTTAGACATCACCGTCAGATGCGCGCTATACAAGATTATTGTGTTTCGGTTATGTTAGTAAATATTCACACGATGATGTAAGCAATTCGCTTATTTCTAGCGCTTACACGTAGCCGGTCTGCAAGCCGCGTACCTAGCCAATGCAAAGGCAGGCCGAAAAACCGAATCAATGAACAAGCGCAGGCGTTATATGTAATCACCGTGTCGTCAAGTCGGTAACTGATCAATGCGGATAGCTGAAGTTTGATCGATCATCGCGTAGCACAATCAGGACAGCGCTGCCAATCTCATCGATCTGGGTCGGCAGTGATTAGTGGGTTATTGCTCGAATTTTTTTTAACTCTTCGTATTCCGTACCCAGCCCTCTTTCTTCCTACCTGTTACAGTCTGTAACACTTCGGATCGATATTTTTTATCAGAACGACAAATTTTGTCCCAGCGCTAATATGTTGCGATGCTACAGTAATAAGGCACACGCGAAAACTGCATTAAGGTTGTCAGTAGTGCTCCTTACCACCCATTTGCTTTATTTTCCGTATATCAGAAGCAACAGTTTTCACACAGAAATTCTAATGTTTTCAAGCCACGCAACAAACTCTTTCTAAGCTCCATCGGTGTAACCTAAAAGATATCTTATTTAATCTCAAACCTCGTCGGTTTCAATCGTATCTTGTATTTAACAAACAAATAAGAATATTTTATCCGGGTAACAATTAATTTGGATTTATTTTCCTCTCATGAAGTGTCATAATGGATCCTTACACAAGTGATCGCACAAAAAACACTTGTTCGCTGTATTATCCACGATTTTCTGTTGTCACAGGTATCTGGAACGACAAGCGTTTGTGGACCGTGCTAGTGAACGCGAATACGCGTATCAGAAATCGCAGATGAAACGGAAACTTTGAACTATGAAAATCGTGTGCAGCGACCCCATGTGTAAAAGAGCGACACGGGCGAATTCCATTCCTGTTGTACACTTATCAGCGAATGCATTTTATGCAAGATATATATATATAAACATCATGTGTAAAATTTGTTCTCGATTCAAGCAATCATTACCACATTTGCTTATACCATGATGACAACGTTGTTCATTTCTCCAGATAGAAAACGTTATTAAGCTTCTCTCATTTCGCTACATGAGTGCTGAGCTTTAACTCATAGTTTTCATCGTGCAGCTGACAGCAAAGCAAAAGGTTGATTACACTGTCCTCCAGTTTCCCAACCAAGAAACCTAACGCCACCTACATGACTGCGTCCCCTTGTTAGGGTAAGCTATGCGGGTCGAACATTTGCCCCAGTGCGCAACCGCCATTACTTAAAACTGCTTTCGATAATGGACCCAGGAGTTCCGTCAGCTCCAAGAGCAACAACGAAACTGCATCCCTAAAGACCAAGGGAGACAAAACGGGTACAAGCTCTGATATGTTTTGTGGTAACTTATTTCTCGTGCAATATCTATTTCAGAAGGAAGACTATCAATTTCGGTGGAGATCAGTCGAATTGTAACTTCACTTTTATGCCCGTCGCACATGACGTTGTTGCTAAATTTGAATCAGGTTTCCCTCAGACTACTTACGTCACTCTGCTTTCCGTGGGCTCCTACTCGTGATCTTCATTTCATTCCGAAGCTGTAACTGCAAGCAGCATGGTGTGACAAACGACCACTAGGCATGTGCAGCACGTGCTCCAAACAGTGAATTCTATTCAGATGGGTTGATTCCGACACCGGAACACTGTGACACTCGGCTACCTGCCTTGATGATGGTAATCAGCTCGTTCTCTGAAACCCAAATAACAGATCACTTCCACTCACGCCCAAACTCAAATCCCAGCCATAGAGCGGAGCTGACCACACATATATGTACAGTTGCACGGGTCCTTGACAGTTTCAATGAAACTTTTTGTTTTACCCCTAAATCGTCAAGTCGGTGCAGGTCGTTCGAGCCTTGGGTATACTAACGGTCAATTGAAACAGAACTGCATGAGTAGAACAAGCAAGCAATTACAACCGATCGCTGTAAAAGAAAGGACAATCAAAATACGCTTTTTCCGCATCACTTGAGAATTCCAAAAAACATTCAAAACGATTGGCTGAAGTTTTTACTATCAAGCACGCCTCTTGTATAAATAGACAAGATCGCCAATGTGCTTCGAATCAATATGACTCGCTTTACCTTCACTAAAGGTTTTCCGAATAAGACCAGATAGGAAGGCTGAATAGGTGAATTCATGAATAGGTGTTTTAGTTGCATTGGTTTTGTTGTATTTCACACCCGTCTGAGGCCAGACTGTGTACCGAAAAAATCATGGTCCAGTAATCTTTATTTAAAAAAACGTTCCATGATACGCATATGGGCCGAATACTGCCAGGTTACCCAAGACAAAGCATATGAGTTTTCTTAAGGAATCCACAACCGGAGCCTCAGTCTAGCCAAAGCCTAACCCGCAAGGAAGCGAGGCGGTGTGCGAAAACCGCAATCCATTGGGAGCCGGTCCAATTAATCGCGTCATAGACCCTTTAGACGGGGTGAAACGTCCAAGGTGCCCGATACCCAATCGAGGTGATGCCCATTGCCACATTGCTCGTACGCCTCCTCTCGGTTGGTTTGGAATCAGGATTTTCGGTCAACTCCCTTAGGTGAACTACCAGTGGTCCAACAACCCGGATTTTGGGTTTTCGTCTTCTCAGTTTTGTGCGAAAACACCTCCGCTACGAGAAGGCAGTGAGTAAGGCTTCCTCAGCTCGGGCTATTTGAGACGTACGGGAGCATTTCGCGAGGCGCAAAGGAAGGATGGCCAGCGGTAACCCCTGACCATACTAAGGCTTTCGGAAGTGAAAAAATTGTAGAACTTTTCTCATCTTATTTCCTAACACTCATAATCTTACTCTTTCCAAAAGCACGATTAACAAATGGATTCTCACTTAAATGTTGCTTCATTCCCCCTTATAGAGTTTGCTCTTTTTACTGTAAATCTCTGTATTTAATTGTTTTAAATCAGGAGCGTTGCTACAAAGGCATTGTGGCCAGAGAAATAGAGCAGTGATGTCCGCGCGAGTAATAATAACCGATGGTACAAAATTCAACTCCAAAATAATACCTCAAAACTGACTGGTTTCTCCTCAGAGGCTCCAAGTGAATTGTCAAACTGGCTGGAACGAGTTCCTACATTTCTAACTGTGACTAGATTATCCTTTAGTTAGAGCTGCTGTAAAAGGTGACCCATGAAACATCAGCAAATCAAAGGAACGGGTAATCATTTATTAATCAGTGCTACTAGGGCAAATCGTCAGTTATCGAAAAAAACAAGTTCACTTTACATTCAGCACGCGAACCTGGTGCGAATGACCATGTAAAGCTGAATTGCAGAAAAAGGCCACTGACATAATGAATGATGAAGTTACCGGAAAGGTTCCGTTTTGAGCAAGTAAGAACGTAATACCTTGGATTTTTTCATTAATTTGCATTGGATAAAACAAGTCGAACAAGAAGGCAGAATCGACTATCCTCAAATATTAAAAAGAACTGGGCAGTTCAGATTATCTAACCATGTATGCCGACGCTTTCGGATGAATTACGATTAAAATATTGCGCGGACCTTGAGAAACCTATTCCTCTATCAGACAAAAACATGTGACCACGAGGTGAATGGGAGTGAA